TTCGGAAACAGGGCATAGCTCCTAATTGGTGCACACACTTAATGACTGAGCATTATATTATGAAGGAAAATTTCTTTTAAATTGCCGTTCTCTCATAATCAAAAATATCTTAGAATTAAGGAAACAGGGTATTCATATTTATAGATATACATAGGGTCCAGGGCAAAATGTTTGTGATCTTAACTTCTCCTTCTTCCCAGGTCCTTGCACCTGTTAGGCAAGCTCTCCCACTGGCTACGTCCCAGCCCTGGGATCTTAACTGCTTCACTTCAGGTCTCCTCCCCTACAGAATTTCTCACAATTCCATAATCTCACTTGGTTATGAAAGCAAGTCTCTCCACGCAGCACCAAGCCTGACCCAGAGCGAGTGTCGGATAACATGGGTTATTATGCCGAGGCCTTCATGACCCTCCCTGCCCAGAGCCTGCACAGAGGTGGTGTTCCATGGAGGCTCCTTGAATGAACCCATGGCCTAAGCCCAAGGCAGGACCAGTCATGGGAGGGTAAGGGCAGGTGGAGGGAAGAGGGTGGCACTTTGGAACAGGGGTTCTGACCTTAAGGGGCTGAGTGATGAACACACTCTCCACCAAGGATACAGCCATGGAGATGAGCCACCGGAGGGAGCTGGCCCGCCCATAGTGCAGTCCATAGAGCATCGTGAAGAAAGCCGCCACACCGCCCGTGGCCACCACCAGGAGCCAGCCCACCAGGACGCACCACCAGGGCAGGCCACCACGGGGCCTCCTGGCCCATGGAATACTACAAAGGAGAGTGGACAGTCAGGGTGGTACCAGTGGCTCAAGTTCAAATCCTTTTCTGCCCTCATCATCTACATGACAGTGGCCAAGCTCCTTGACCTCCCAGACCCTCTGTTTTGTCCTCTGTAACCTGCTACCTCAAAAGACTATTCTAGGTGCTGGGGTTGTAGTTCAGTGGTAGAGCGCTTGCCTCGTATGCATGAGGCACTGGGTTTGATCCTCAGCACCACATAAAAATAAATTTAAAAAGACATTGTGTGGGGTTGGGGATGTGGCTCAAGCGGTAGCGGGCTCGCCTGGCATGCGTGCGGCCCGGGTTCGATCCTCAGCACCACATACAAAACAAAGATGTTGTGTCCGCCAATAACTAAAAAATAAATATAAAAAAAAGACATTGTGTCCATCTACAACTAAAAAAAATTAACAGACTAGAGTCTGTCAAGTACAAGCAGTCTCATTCAGGTCTGCTGGAAGAAAGCCCCCCAACTTGACACTTTATACAGACTTGCTCCATTATTCCCTCATAGCAATCCTAGAAATGGGCTCTATATAATAATCTTTTTTCACTTTTATCATGAAAAATGTCTCATCAAAAATTATCAAGCACAGAAAACCCTAGGTACAGCAATTGATTCCCACATTGTCACCACCTTGACACGCTATCCCATCTGTCCCTGGCTTCCTTCTCCCTTTATTAGGGAATATTTAAAAATAAGCTCCAGACATAATACAGAATCTAATTACTTCAAAGTGCAACTCAAAAATGATCATTTTCTTACCAAGTTACTATGCCATCATCACAGCTAACAAATGAGTAATAATTCCTCAGTGTCATCTAATAACCTGTCTGTAGTCCAATCTCACTATTTATCTTAAAAATATATAATTTGTTTTAAGTTTGAAACAGGAGATACCCATCATCACTCCCACTTTACAAGCGAAGGAGGCTCAGAGAGGGACTGGCCCAAGGAGGCACAGCTAGGAAAAAATCCACACGAAAATGGCTACAAATTGTAAAGTGCTGTGCCCAGGGCTGCAGGTGTCTTCCAAGACAGCCTGGCTCAACATGCTTCCTGCAGGAGTCCCAAGTCCCTTCTGCTTAGAGGTCTGGGGTGAGAGCATCCTCCTAAGGTTCCCCAGGATAGGATGCCCTCTCCCACAGCCCCCAGGCTGTCCTGCTCGTCACTGGGAAAGCGGGTTACCTGACATATACTGGGGCCAGGGTGCCCAGCTGTCCCCCCAGACAGCCCTTCAGGGTCTGCAGCTGCCTGAGGGCCTGGGCGTGGCTGTGGCGCGGGAAGCCTCCAGGCCCCACCAGTCTTAGCTCTTGCTCCACATGCTGCAGCTGAAGGTAGAGACACTGCCTGTAGGCGCTGCCCTTCCAGGGACTGCTGGGGGCCAACCAGGGCTCCTGGCACTGTGCTTTCTCTGGGGGGAAAAAAGAGAAAGCCATAGCTGAGCTGACTCGGAGCCAGTTCCAATCAAGATGGCAGCCGGGACAGAGGCGGCTGCCACCTCCCTGAGGATCCTAGAGCCATCCCCACCATGGCCTCGTCCCATCTGTAGACACTTCACGTGGTAAGTGGTGAACTCGAAGCATGACGTCTGTGAGTCTTGATCTTGTTTAAATCATAGAACAGTTCAAACAGAAAAGTGGAAAGTGATAAGAAGAAACCCCACACCCTGACACCCAGCTGCAAAATCAGTTCCCATGTGTTTTGCCAGCACCCACCCCACTATCCACATGGATTCTTTCCAAGCAAATTCTGAAGTTTGTATCATTTCATTAAATAATTCAGTATATTTATGTAGAAGAGAAGGACTTTAAAAAAATAATCATGGCATTATGAATCTTTAGTAATTAACAATATTCCCATCAAATATCCAATCAGAGCCCAAGACCCCCTGATAATCCCATGAATATTCTTCTACAGTTGCGTTGTTCAAATTTCAGATTTAAAAAAAAAAAAAGTTTTTGATTTTTTTGCTGTTCTGGGGATAGAACCCAGGACCTGCACATGCAAAACAAGTGCTCTACTACTGGGCTACAAACCCAGATTCTCTGAAACTTTTTAAACATCTTTCGTTGTTTTAAATTGCAAAAGTACCAGATTTCTTGGGAGGAAAAAAAAAACAGATTTCCACTATTCCTTTTTCCACTATTCCACTATTCCTTTTAAGAGAAGCATGCCTTTTAAGGGAAACGTGGACTCTATAGGTGGAACCAGGCCCCAGTTCCTGGGCAATGGGCTGGAAGGCTGCACCCAGGACATGCTGTCCTGCCGTGAGGGCTGGGCTCTGAACCCCTGTTCACCTTCCCAGAGGGTGTGTGCAGCTGGACACAGGAGATGGCAAAATGGAGCCCTCCCCCGTGATCCCGTCCCAGTTGCCAGTGAGAGATGAATGGGAATGGTTTGTGTGCAAAGAGAAGACTGTGGTGGGAATGTGTGCCACAGCTAGATCCTTGCCCTGGGCCTCCCTCACTGAAGCCTCAGCTGGAGAGTCCAGCGCCAACACACTCTATTGCAGGGCTCCTGCTCATGTTTCCAAGAAGGTGCCATCCCTACCAATCAAAACAGAACTAACGAAATACTTGCTTTGTGTTAGGTGGGTGGGGGGCTAAGCCTTCTATATATCTTACAATCTTGTTCAGTCCTCACAACTAGCCAAGAAGCCAGGCGGATTAGTGCCCCCATTTTATAGAAGAGGAAACTAAGTCTCAGAGAGGTTGATCAACTTGTCTCAAGTTGCACAGTTGCTATTGCATTGGGAGATCTTGAGTCAGGCTGTGTCCTTAATTCCAAAGCCTCCCAACGCAGGGCCAAGAGTCCAGTGAAAGCAGAGCCCTGCCAGGATGACCTTCATGACCATGGGGTCAGTGTGGCCTCGCTACAAAGGCCCAAGTGCTACAGTAAGGGGATAGGATTTCATCTGGAGGACAGTGGCTCTCCAAATTCAAGGTGCATGAAAAGCAGCAAGGTGCCTGGCTGGAAATGCACATGCCTGGCCTGCCCCTGGAATATTTAATCATAGGGGTTTGGACCAAGGTTATGAATTCAAATCACCCATTCTATAACCCACACTGTGTTCTAAGCAAAGTTGAGACGCGACAAGTCTGAGTGCTAAGACCCATTACAGCCATGAGGTGAGCAGTTTTGTTGTATCACAGGCTCCTGCCACGATGTTCTGCCTCACCCTAGGCCAAAGCAACAAGGCAAAGCCACCATGGACTGAAACCAGGAACCTTTCTTCCTTTTAAATTGATTATCTCGGGTATTTTGTCACAGTGATGGAAGCTGACCCAGATGGGAAAAGGATCAAGAGGAGAGTAAGGAGACTGGATCAAACTACAACAAATGCCATATGTAGGACATGAGACAATGTTACTAAATTCTAGCTGGATATTATAGCAAAAGACACTGAATTTGAGATCTCCTACCTCTGCCAAACAAGAGATCAACAAGTGGTAGAGAAGCATTAAAGATTTAGTGGCTCCAACTGAGATTTTCCTTGACTTCTTGATTAATTAGGAGGATTGAGAAGGAATAGAGAAAAGAACTTTGTCACTCTGTGAATCAATGTCCTTTAATGTGTTCTGCTGCCCTGGTCGTACGTCATCTTGTGTCCTGCCCCACACATTTGAAAGCAGATCTGGGTCAACTCTGCAGCTCTGACACTTTACAGGAAAAGGAACATGGGGCACGGAGAACTGAAGCATCCTTCCAAGGTCACAGAACTGGTCACCCCAAGACAAGGCAAATAGGTGGCTCTCACTTCATAAAGTTTGGGGAACAGAAAGGATGGTGCAGACTTTAAACAACTCTTTACACAATTTATCATTTGGCCACGAGCAGTGAATGTAAGGAGAGGCATGGTGGCCAAATAGCAGGGGCCCAGAGCCTGGGAGACTTGGGTTGCTCCCCCAAGAAGGATGCTCAAGACAGAACCAAATGTCGGGTGAGAAATGGCCAAGCAGAGAAAGGGTGAGTGACATTCTAGCCTGCAGGGCCAGAGGGGTCCAGGGCATAGTGAAGGCAGCCAGGTGTTGGGAGGACAGCTGGGTGCCTGTGGTGTAGAAAGGGAGGTGACTGCAGTGTGAGCAGAGGCAGGTAAGGGTACCACCCTGTGACCCTCTCCCCTTGGCTCCAGAATTTCCTTTCTCTGGGCACAGAAATGTCCAGGCCTTACCATTCACTTGTGCAGATCCAAGAGTGAGTGTAAAAGGTTCTCCTCTCTTTTCAGCCTCTTCCTGGAAGCCCTGCCCCCTTGTGTTCTGTGGATGAATGAGGTCTTCCATCAAAGCCAGGAGGTTGTTGATGTCCATCGAGCCTACCAAGTCCCCACCGACGACTGGCGGTGGCACCTTCAGAGCTTTGAACAGAGAGCTGACAAGTCTGCGCACATCCTGCAAGGCAGCCCCATCGGGTAAGCAGACAGAGCCTCAGAGGAGGGCATGCTGCTTGGGGCAAGGGCACACGCCTGGGCTCAGCAATCTGCATTTGAACCCCACTCTGCCCACTGAGGCATGATCGGGACCTCCCAGGACTTATGTCCACCACCTCTAACATCTTTTTCTAGGATATAAACTGACTCCCTCCAGGCTGTGTTCCTCAGAGAGGCACATGGGAAATAAAAGCATATCCAGTGCAGAAGGCAGCAGGAGTCTTCCGTGGGCTGCCAGCCTGGGAGGCTGTACCGAGTGGACTGTTTCACACAGTAGGCACTCAGAAAGCACGTGTGTGTGTGGGTACACATTTGTGTGTGTGTGTGTGTGTGTGTGTGTGTGTGTATTAGTTGGTGAATCTTGGCAACTGAGGTTGAGATGCCTTGAGGCTGCTGGGCCCCAGCCCTACCCCCACTTCTGCCTGAGCTAGAGTACCCCCTCGCACAAGCTGAGCTTGAGGGCATGCCTTGGTCACTGCTTCAGGTGTCAGAAGGCCATCCTCCATGGGCTGTGGTGCAGGAGTCATCTTGGGGGTCCCCCAGTCCTGCTTCTCCGTGTTCTGCTCCTTTGGGACCCGAGGACGAGTGTTTCGAAAGATCTGGACAATCAACAGGTTGATGGGGAACATGAGGATGGAGCTCTCCAGCCCGATCATCACTTCCTGCCAAGTGAACTCAATTTTACCTGGGAACAGGGAGGAACAGGGCAAAGGAAGACACAGTCACCAGGAGCCAAATCCCCTCCACTGCTTCCAGAAGGTAGCTGTGCAGTGAAGCATCAACCGGGCCCTACTCCTGGGATGTCACCTCAAAGCCTTTGGATGTCTGGCCTGGCAAAGTGTCTTTGTTTACCCAGGGCTGCGGAACATGTCAGATAGTCTGGGCTGACAGTGTGATTTATGGTGGGCCTGAAGCACATGGTGTCAGCTTAACTCTGGGGGACTGAAGGCTAAGAACATAAGGTGGGTAGCCAGCCATGTCTACATGGCTGGGCCCTAGTAAATGTCTGGATCATAGTGGCATGACTAGCAATGAAGACTGAAGTCCACCAGCCACTAGCTCTGACCATCATGGCAGCAGGAATTACCCAAGTCCATCTTTTGCTCAGCTGGGTCCTTGGGGACACCCCAGAACATGATACTGGTCAGCATGGTGCACAGGAGCAGGGAGAAGCAGCAGGACACCCTCTGAACGCGTGTGAAGTTGCTCCGAGCTGAGCCGCTGAAGATGGAATACCAGATGTGTCCTTCCTGGAAGCCCGTGGAGGTTTTCATGAAGAACAGGTGGCTGTGGCAGGCAGGGAGAGGGGACAGGTGTTTAGAGAGAGAGGAGTGGGAGACCTGGTCTCTCTAGCTGCACCGGATCCCAGCCTGCTCTCTTCTAGCCCTGGGACCTTGGGTGAGGGTGCTAACAGCTGCACCTCAGTTTACTTGTCTGTAACCTTGTGAGGCACTGGGTTCAACTCTCAGCACCATATATAAAAAAATAAAATGAAGGTCCATAGACAACTAAATATATATATATATTAAAAAAATAAACAAAACTTCTTAAAACAAATGTGGATAACAGCAGACCCTACTTTATCACATGGTTGGAAGGATTCAAAGTTGTCATTTTTGTAATGCATTTGGGACAGTAATAGCACACAGGTGAGTGTTTAGTGTTCACACTGTTATTTGGGGTATAGTTTTAGTATAATAAACTATAATATTATTAATTTTGCTATAATTAGATTATTATTAGAACATGATTAAAAACTCCTGGCTCTGCATTCAAATGGGATTTGGTTTGAGAGAATAAAAATTATAAGGCAGATTCCCAATAACGGCTCCCAATTTTTAGTAAAAATTCAAATTGTTTCCTGTGAGTATAATGGAGTTTAACCACAGGAGCTGCTCAAGGGCCCAGGTCCTCCAGAGTGCCCAGAACTGAGATTCCTGGGGCAGGCCTGTATTCATTAGTCCATGCCAGTGCCCTCCAGAGCTGCCCAGTACTTTGACCACCACACTGAGGCTTGTGGGTGGGCTGGACTTAGGGGAAAGGTACACAAAGAGAGGGCTAGTGGCCAACAACAGTGATTTTCCATGTCATCCTGATCATTCATCAAATATTTGTTGGGCACAGTACGTGAGCCAGATACTGCTGGGCACCAAGTGCAGCGAAGAAAGAAAAAGAACCTGAATCGTTTCCTATCCTGCTCTGTGGCCACTGGAAACACCTTGTCAAGGACACAGTCTCCAACACTGATGGACAGCCATGAGTTGCAGAGGAAATACCACTTCTGGTCCATCGCCAGGTCATAGACCAGCACCCGGCTCACGTACCTGGAAAAGGGACACGCGGTTGTGAGGATAAGGTGTGGGGAAATGAGACTTTCCTGGGCACCCTGAAGCTTAACACCTCTATAGCCCGGAACCCCAAGAACAGGAGCTGCTGGAGAAAGAAACTGCATTTCACTTCATTGACTTTGGCACCTTGATCAAAACTGGCCTCCTGTGGGGAGCTGGGGAGCCGGCTCTGGGAGGCTGTGGCCTGTACACAGATGAGCTGCAGGAGGGCACATTTGGAAACTCTTGGCCCTCCCCATGGCACCTGGCCAGGGCCAGTGTCCAGCCACGAGTGAGTACAGCCAAAGCTGTCGAAAGTGCAGGCAGGTGCAGTAAGAACACACTGAAATGACCCCGTCTCACCTTTCTAGCCACACAATCAGGCCACCATCTATCTGGACCTGGGACTTCAAGGGCCTCATCTACCCTGATTGAGGAGGCCTGAGGAGGAAATGGGAGCATCTTGCTTGTCCTGGAGGTCAGCTCCAGCAGCAGCTCTCCCTGTCACTGTACAGCCAATAAGGACAGTCACAAGAGCAAAGTCATTTTCCCAGTGTTCACTGCACTGTGCTGAGAGGAGAGGCTCTCCACAGGCATTTCTCATTTCAGGGAGGAAGGCCCATCAAGGGTGTAAGTCACTATGCCAGGGTCATGTGACTAACACCTAAGGATGCAGGGAGGGCCTGGAGTGAACAAGACGTGTGACCAAAACCAGAGCTCTCCATGGGCCTGTTATTAGGCTGCATTGCAGCTGGACCTCAACCCTGCCCATCCTGCTCCCTTTCCTGCTTCCCAGGTCTGATCCTGGACCCCTTAATAGGTACCCAACACACTCATCTCCAAGTCAGAGTCTGCTTCCCAGGAACCACCCAATGGCTGAGGCTCATAAGGTGCGAATATTTAATCCCTTGGTTTAATTAAAGACAGTGGTGTAAATGCTGTGTTGTTCTAAAGCCTCCATCTGCTGATGGTAAGGCAGGCTGACACCATTCATTTAGGTCACTAATTTGGGCCTCAGACACAATGGGGAAGACCTTGTTCTGAACTTGCCACAAGTGTCAGATTGTTGCTGTGGAAGGGCGAAGGGTAGGCTAAGCCTGGACACCAGGGCTGTAACTTCCAGTCCTCTGGCTCCCGATCTGGTTTGTGTGGATCATGAACCAGGTGGTCCTTCTGACCCCGGTTTCCTCATCCTCATCGAATTGGAGGTCCATTCCGCATGTTTTTCGGAGGCTTATGAGGGCCAAGAAGGCAACAAATGAGCAGTACCTCGCCCCAGCCTGGACTGTGAAGGTCCTCATGGTTTGCTTTCTCTGACTCACCAGGATGGCTGGTCCCCTGAGTTGTCATGCCACAGCCTGAGGCTCCGCAGTTCTCCAAGAGGGAACAGGGTAGAAAGCAAGAAGACATCCACACCTCCTCGCTCAAAAACTGGGGAATCAGGGTCTGACAGGTGATGGGGCTCACTCTCTCCATCCAGGCCATAGAGGGTGACAGTCACCTGAAATCCAGAGACCAAGAGTGGCCATCTTCACTTGGGGACTGAGTCCTGCTGGCCTTGCTTAATTGGGGTGGCTAGAAACCAACAAAAACCAATGAAGCACAACCCTTTTACCTTTCTCTCTCCTCCTGTCTTTGACCTGCCTGTTTTTCAGTTGAATGCAGATTTGGGGTGGCCCTATCTGCATTCATGTCTTCAAGATCAATTAAGTTCATTTTTAAAAATGCTTGCTGGCAACATTTTCGAACTTCTCATATGTTTATTTGTAAGGGCTGTAGGGCAGGAAATGGTTTCCTTCCTGTTCTAATTGTCTTTTCAGTGCTTCTGAGTACCTGGCTCTGGGAGTGAATAAAGGAGTACCCACTGCTTCCAGAACACATACTCCCAGGGCCACTTTAGAGCTACCAAGTAAGAATGGTGCAGATTGGACCCAGGAATCTGTTTCTCTGAAGCTATCCAGGAAGTGCTGATCGGCAGTGCCTGGTTTTCTGAAACAAAAACAGCATCGCAGCAGATCCTGCCTATGCTGCCTGCAGCCCTCAGCCTCACACAGGTAGTGCTCCCTGCACTGCATCCAACCGCCACCCCTGGGGGCTCTTTCCCCAGGGACTTTCTTTGGCTGTTAGAACCAAAGAAAAGCCAGACAATGAATAGCCCACACATGCTGTTCTCATTGTGGGAGGTGGCTGACCAGTGCCTCAGTTCCCTCCTCTCTCAGATGGGATATTCTGGGGACACATGTTTCTCACTATTTTTCAGTCCCCCAGTGGCCTTAGACTCAGGTGCCCACAGAGATAACCAGTTTGTTCAGGTACCTTTCATCACCTGCCTGCCTTCCCCTGTATGGCTTCCTACTCCCCTGCTCTCATTCCCTGGGACTCCATCTCTGATGAATTATTTGCAATTCAATTCTTGTGTCAGAGTCAGCTTCTATAGGAGTGTTTTCCCACCTCCACCATTGACATGGGAGCCAGATGCCCTAAACCTTGCCAACTGTCCCCTCAGAGGCAAGATCACCCCAGTGGAGAGCCACTACCCAGGGAAACCCAATTGAGACAATACACCTGTGAATAGGGGGTTTTTCATTCCCCTCCTGTTGAGGCCAACTATTTAGCATCCAACAGAAATGAGATGGATAGTTCATTGGCTTTTTGAAAGCGATTCCTAGTACTTACGTTGGGTCAGACAGCTGATCTAAGACCTAAGATACAGTGATAAATAAAAGTTTTAAATTTAAAAAATAAAATAAATACACATAAATAAAAAATATAATTAAAAAAATAAACAGAGAAATACCCTACTCTCATGAAGCCTGATTTCATTTTCTAAAACAATGGAATTTTCCCCAGGACTGTGTACACAGTGATGATGGTGCCCAAACTGTGCGCCATGGACCCCTCAGTGTCAGTAAGGGAACATGGAGGCGGTTGCAGGGGATGATGTATTCTGGCAAGGGAACCAGCAAGGAATATAAGACATTATAGAGACAGCCCACATGCGCTCCATCACTGAACTCGAGGACTTCAGAGAGCCTGTAAGTAGCAGAAATGCTCTCTTCAATAGCCCTGGTCAGCTGCTGGAGGACAGGCAGCTCTGCAGACTGCTGAGCCCTAGTCCAGCTGTCAGCCCGTTGAGAGTGTAATTCAAGATTTCTCCTTCCTTCCGTTTCCCCTTCTCTTCCACACATTATTTCCTATTTTTCCTTGGTAAGTTTACCGAGTGACTACCTCCTCTGTGGGTAAACTTGCTTTTGGTCAACAAACTGAAAGTCAGCATGATTCTTTGGGAGAAGGGAGAGATGAACAGCTAGACCCAGCGCTCCCTGAACCACTCCTCCTCCTCATTTTAAATATTGGGGCTTAAGGTCATATTTTGTATGACAAAAAAGATTATTTTTTCTAAGATAAAAAAAAGAAAAGAAAAACTAGGAAAATATTCCAAGAATACAAATCCAGTGGGCTAGTCACTATGGCAGAGCAAGCACTTGGGTGGGTGGGACATGCAGATCAGTCCATGGGTCTCCTGTGGTGAGGTACCTTTGAGGACGTGGCTGCCCCTCGCCGGTGTCCTGTGTAGACTGTCACCAGGTAGTGGTACTGGGCAAAAGGGTCATTGTCCTCCAGCACTGTGATCTTCACCTGAACAGAAGGACAGTGTCAAGAGGACCCTACCTGAAACATTTACCCATCACACACCAGCCAAGAATGAACGGGGCCCTCATGAAAATTAAAGGGCAAAAATAAAATTATGTATGCTATTTATCATTCCATCTGGTGAGAGCTGTACCTTATAAAAGCAGGGTTTTAAGTAAAAAATGTTGGCAAAAATGAAAAAGTTTAGATTGCATTCCTTATTAATCATGACTCTATGTGGTTAAATTGGAAGTGAACTTGGCACTAATCTGAGAACATTCACATTTGAGCTAGAAAACCATACAAACTCTTTTCACATGTAATTTCTCGTAACATTGTAACTAGATTTGCTTCTGAGGTAATTTGAAAGGAATGAAATGTTAAAATAGTTTATCAAAAACAAAAACAAGGTCAACAATCTGGAGTTGATCACAGGCTATAGTGACCCCTGAGATGTGCTGCTCAGGTTTCCCTGCAGTGGGAGGCTTGTTACAGGCACTGTTGTCAAAGACACAGTGGTCACCTCTTTGAAGTGGTGCCTCCTGAGGCACCTGGCATCCAGTGACTTCTCTGTGAAGTGCCTGGGGGTGATCAAGACCTGGGCCTCTCAGCTGGGCATGGTGATGCACACTTGTAATCCCAGCAGCTCAGGAGGCAGAGGCAAGAGGATTGCGAGTTAAAAGCCAGCCAGCAATTTGGTGAGGCCCTAAGCAACTTAGTGAGACCCTGACTCAAAAAAATAAAAAATGGGCTGAGAATGTGGCTCAGTGGTTAAATGCCCCTGGGTTCAATCCCTGGTACCAAAAAATAAAAATAAAATAAACACTTGGAGTCTGCTTTCTGGGAACCAACCTGCAGCTGAGGCACTTAAATATTAATGTTTAATCCCTTGAGTGAATCAGAACAGTTGCATGAAATGCTGAAACTATTGTCTTACTAAGTGTTATCTTGTTACCATCCTGAGCGGTACTGCTGGGGAGGAGGGCTGAGGAATGGAGAGGTTGCAGAGCTCTGCCACAGTGCAACTTTGCATCCACTTCTGTGTTACCTTAACTATTGAAGCCCTGTCATGAGTCCAACGAGATGCATATGTGGGAAAATTAACACTACTGTCATTTCAAACCATTTGTTGCATAACCTGCTATTGTTTGGCCATGCTTCTATCCTCAGACTGGTCCTATGCTCAAGGAGAATCTAAGTTTACATCCCAGCTCCTGCCTGATGACTTTTAGCCAATTAATTGACAGCTTGGTCATTTGCTACCTCCTCTTGAAGATGATAGGAGTACTGTGCAATAGAGGATACACTCAGCAAGTTTGGGGTGTTCAGACCTTACACATTCCAAAGAAAGGATCAGCCATTGTATAGATCCTGGGAGGTCATGACTAAGTTCTTGGGAAATCCTGTGTGATAAGAGAGCTTTTGTATTTCTGGGGCATGGGCCAGGCCAGATAGCCTATGCCCAGTGTGACATGTGGCAGGAACTTTGGGCCATGCTCTACCAGGCTGACTTTGTTGAGGGACACTGGAGAACCAGTACCTGTGGTCAGTCAGATGGATGCTCCCTACCTCTGTGAGCTTTCCTGTTGGCAGAACTCCCCATGTGCTGTCACACGGCATGACTGGGAGAGTTAAGTCCCATCTGTGGACTTTCCAGGAAGGAACAAGCAGAAACTGTGCCCGTCTCTCCTCTGCCCCTGCTCATTTTAACCTGCATCCTTTCACTGTAAGAACCCCTAACCATGAGCTCAACCACTTTTCTGAACTCAATGAGTCTTTCTACAAACCATTGAACCTGAGGGTGGTCTGGGACTCCCAGCAACAGAACCTTTCTCATTAGGCTGCTGTGTTACATGGGAGTCAACTGGTCCTCAGTAAACAATCAGCATTGTACTCCTGAAAATTTGAGAAAAAGGGACATTTTTGTAGATAAAGAGGCTGAGGGGCCAGTTTGCTTGAGATGACCCTAGGGGCTAAAGCCTGGCTTAGCAGTTAGCTCTCAGCAGCTCCCCTGGCTTCCCCCTGAGGCCCCTGCAAGGGGTGTCCCCTTACTCTACCCTCCCATGCCCTGGAGCACACAGCCTCACCTTAGCCTGATCTTGCGCATCCTTTCTCCTGGCCCAGATCACCACCAGCACATAGACCACACAGAGGCAGCCAACGGTGGTCACCACCACAGGGTTGTCCTCAAAGGTGGCAAAAAGCTCAGCAGTCTGGTGAACATCGACAGCATTGGGCATCACCAGGAAGGTGCTTCCGAAGAAGGTGAGGTGGTTGCAGAGGCAATGGGTCTGGGAGGGGGTGGTCCGCGGCCCCACCTGCAACCCCCAAGAGACCATGGGTAGAAACGCTTGGGAGCTCATCCCTGACTCCCTTATGCCCATGAGAAAAAAAAAATGTCCACCTTGGAGTGGACCCTCCGCAATCAGCCTTCTGTGTCCACAAACTCAGTCAACCTCATTTGGGGGAGGGAGCAGGGAAGCTCACCTGTATTGAACAGGTAGACTTTTCCTTGTCATTATTCTCTAAGCAATGAGGTATGACAATGATCATGTACCATTTTAGTTTTATTAGGTAATATCCTGAGTAATCTAGATATGGTCTAAGGCACACATGAAGATGCGTATCAGTTACGTGCAAATACTACACCTTTTTAACAGGGACTAGAGCTTCCGAGGGTTTCGGTTTCCACAGGGAGTCCTGGAATTCATCTCTTTTGGATACTGTGTGACAACTGTACTAGGGTGTGGAGCCTCAGGATTCCTTTGGGCTTTTTATATTAAAAATTAATTTTAGGTCTGGGGTCATAGCTCAAGAGCAGAGCACGTGCCTAGCATGTGTGAAGCCCCGGGTTCAATCTCTACCACTGCAAAAAAAAAAAAAAAAGTTATTTTCCAAATTCAGAGGACATTATTTCTAGCAAGCATCTTCACAGCCACATTCTCAATGTGTAGCTCTGAACATCCTGACAACCTGCCTTGCCTATTTAGAGACATGTCGCAGGTGAAATTTGTCCCTACCCCCAGATATAAACTTTTTTTTTTTTTTTTTTGCAAATTTGGATGTTTGCCTCCCATCCTCAGTGCATCTGATGCTCTTTCAAAAAAAAAAATTAATAGATAAACCCCACAACTCAGTACTGCCCTTTTATTCCAAGGTCCATCTCAGGATGGAGGGGTTAGAAGACTGGCATCTGGAAAGTTCTCTGCTCAAGCACCAGTTGAGGAAGAACCTCCCACAGCCCTGTTTTATGACCCAAAGGTAACTCTTGTCTCTTTCCTTTTTTTTTTTTTTTTCTTTTTTGGTACTGGGGCTTGAACCAGAGGCATTTTACCACTGAGCTATTTCTCCAGCCCCTTTTTATTTTCTTTTTGAGCCAGGGTCATGATAAGTTGCTGAAGGTCTTGCTAAGTTGCCCAGGATAGCCTCCAACTTAGGATTCTCTTGCCTAAGCCTCCCAAGCCGTTGGCATTACTATTGTGTGTCACTGCACCCACCATCTCTTTCCCTTAATGAGCCACCAGCAAGTCCCATATGTGGGCACAGTGCCAAATCTTTATTAGAATTTCTGGTGGTTGTTAGTGCTGTGGTTGCTCATTGTTTTTCTCATTGTTTCCTAAACCTAGTCATCATTTGGCAAGAGCTGTGGGCCTCACGTGAACACCTGTCATGCCTCGAAGGAATGGGGCTGGTTTCAGAGAAGAGACTCAAGCAGGTGCCAATGATAAGACCTCAGTGCTGGTGCCTAGAGACTAGTCTTGATTTAGGCCCAACATCTTTCCGTTGATGGTTTCCATAAAGACCTTGAGGTCAGTGGCTTTCCCAGCTTTTTTCCAGCACAGGATTTTTTTCTATTTCTGACAGTTCTGGGGATCCAACCCAGGGCCTTGTGCACACTAAACAAGCACTTTACCACTGAGCCACACCCCCCATAAGGTCCCTTTGAACATCAGTGAGTAATCTGTGGACCCTCCTGTGACCACAGTCGCACCTTTGATAAATGAATATCAGACCCCTTGTGATGATTCTGCCTCTATCCTGTAAAGGTCTTGAGGTTCAGACATTTCTTCAGCTATTTAGAGAGAATTCAGTGGTTTTCCATTCACTCTTGAAAACCCATTTACTTATTTACAACTCTGCAATGAACTCTGTATAATGATCTAATGTCTCTATGTCTGTGTCTGTAATGAGCATCAAGTCCACCATTGGATTAATCATGATTTTTGGTCCATACATACTCCCACACATGACCTCTGACATCCATGGTTTTATATGCCTGCATTTGTAGGTTCATCTTTTAATAGCATAATAAGCAATGCATCTAAGAACTTACCACTGTAATCAAAAGCTAAAACTCTTCCAGTAACAGGTTTAGCTAAGTAGTCTTCCCCCAACCCATTTCCAACCACCTCCCAACCACCATCTCAAGCCCTTGGTCATTGTGTCCTTGATTTCTGTTTTACAGCATTGTTATCAACTAATCAGTGTTTAACCTTTGGAGCACCCACTGAGTGCCAAGCACCATACTTAGTATTTTACACCTCTAAGCCCACCCACCTCTATGTGGCAGCTATCCCTCATTCCCATTTTAGGATAGGTAAGCTTAGAGAAGTGGGGTGACTTATCCAAGCCACGCTGCTAGTGTAGGAAATGAACCTAAGTCTATCTGATGGCAGAGTCAACATCCCCAGCCCCAACACCATCCTGGCACCTTGATCCCCAGGCCTTTGAGGATATCTCTTGGGGGCATTTCATGCCTTCCTGGAATATGCTGGCTTTAGAAAAGATGACACACACCCAGGGCTGGTTCCTGAGGCTCAGAAGCTTGCATGGGGAGTGTGGGGAGCCTGCTTTCTCTTGGACATCTCCATGTGCCCCTTCTTCCTACTGTTTTGGAGGCTCTCTGAATGTGGCAGCCCAAAGCCAGGGCAGAAATTGACAAGGCAGTGGAAGCCACCCGGGAGGAGCTCACTCTGAGTCCCTCTGTGGCTCTCGTGGGACATGGCTTCTTAGGGCCCTTGTGACAGTTGTTAATAGACATGTGCCATTTGCTTCTTGTCTGTGTCCTCTGCTAGACTGAGAGCTCACTGGGTCTTCTCACCATATCCCTATCACCAGGTCATGGTGAACATTCAGTGAATAAAAGAAAGAAGGTGCATGTGGTATATGTTGGGACAGGTGATAGATTCAATTCCACATGGAGGCTGCTGACCTTGGGAAGGGTGCGGAATTTAGTGGAAGTCCAACAGAAAAGGTTCTGATAACTGCAAGGTCAATGTCTGTCCCAGGACATTGTCACAGGCCTCAACTCCCTGGGGGCAGAGCTGAGTTGACCCGAGACAGGGGTTTGATTGCAATTAATAAAGCCATATGCCACCTGGGGCTTAGCAGGACTCACTGAGTGCTGGGGAAGTGGCACCACGTACTGCTGAGGTTGTGCTCTGGAAAGAAGGACCTGCCTTGAGTCCCAGCTCTTCCACATATCAGGTGTGGGATTTGAGGCAACTTAGTTGAGTCTCTAGAGCCTTTGTTTTATTGTCTGTAAAGTGGAATAACAACTCTCTTGAAGTTCATTATAAAGAGTTGACAAGCTAATGCAAGTAAGCACAGAACACTGTGCTTGGAACAGGATAAGGGATGCAGCAATGAGTTCATTTCCTCAGAAATGACCTCAGCCTCTCCCATCAACTCAATGGCACAAGGCCCTCCTGAGTCACTCATCCACTTGTTCAATGATCGTTTGTCCCCAGCAGTGAACAAAGCACAGCATCCCGGCCCCTGGGGCACTCAGTGCCCTGAGGGAATTCAGATATCATTTAAGTGACAGGCAGAGGCCAAAGACCACCTGCTCAGCAGTCTGCAGGAGGGGCATGCCCTGTGTTTACAACAGAAGATATGTCCTAGTCGCACTCAAGATCAGTTTTCTTGAGGAAGCAGTGCTTAGGCGAAGGCAAGAGGGCATTCTGGGCACAGGGATGGTACATGCAAAGCTCCTGGAGGGCCATGAGACACCATACCAGAAGCAACAAGAAGGGACCTAAAGGAGCCAGACACTGCCTTCCAGCCCACCTCGTCTTCTTTTTGCTCCCTCTCCTTACCCGACATCCAGAGTTATCCCAAGTCTCCTGGACCTCATCCCAGAACACACAATGAGATAGGAAGGTGGTAATGCCGACAGTGAGATTCCCACCAGGGGCAGGCTCCAGGTCAGACTCAGGGACCACTGTCAAATAATAGAGACCTTCTCCAAAGGGCAGGTCCTCTGGGCCCAGGATCCATGTGGACAGCTCATCTGTAAGAAGGGGCTTTGGTCACCCAGAGGCCTCACTGAGACTGGAGCTGGTATCATGGGAGAAGGGGCACCAAGATGACAGGGTAGGGAAACACCCTGAAGTTCTCTCCCTTGTCCTAGGAGGACTTTACCTCCTGATAACAGGAACACAGAGGGGGCACCCCTGGTCAGTGTATAGAACACATCAGAAAGACAGGGGTCACATGCTAGTTCTGTTCCTTGTTGGTGTGTGGGATCTCAGATCAGTTACTTAACCTCTCTATTATTATCTTCACCCCAAGAGTTAACAGTTGCCACTGCCACCTCACTGCACTGAGGTCAGTTCTATGCATGCTTAACAGCACCTTTGGGGCACACAGCAAATACTCACCTAATTTTGGCAAAAAAATAATAATACCACCAACAAAAACAAGTCACTTAAAAATGTGGCACTTGGTTTTTTCTTTGCTTTTCCCCTCATGGCTTCTGATCCTCACAATTAAAACTGAGATGCCTGGGAGGGTCCCCAAGAAGAGGACATGGGATTGGTAGAATAAGGGGGAGTCATTCCTGAGAAGCAGCTCAAGAAATAGTTCAGGGATCAGGGTTACCTGGAGCAGACACTGGTGGCAAATGAGTTTGGGCATCATAGCTGGTCTTGTTGGGGTGGTAGCCATAGCCCAGGCTGAGTGTGAGTGGGACTCTGGGTCTGCAGTGCAGCTGGATGCCCAGAGCTGCCTCCTTTGATGTCACGTTCACCCACAGAGCTTCAGAGCTAGTCAGGCTCAACACAGTTGGCTCACTGTGTCCTTCCACAGGCCGGGGCAGCAGGATCTGTCATCAGAAACAATCAGATCAAGGGAAGGAAATGCCAGCCAGGCAGCATGAGGGCTGCAGTGCAGAACAATGCAGGGCAAGGCCCTGGGAGCTGAAACCAGTTCTGCTTGCGGTGTTAGTTTCCTATGGTTTCCACCGCAGATGACCACAGACCGGGTAGTGTAAACCACTGCAAATTTGATATCTCAGGATCCTGGCGACCAGAAGTCTGAACTCAGCTTCACAGGGCTAAAATTGGCAGGGTTGGCTCCTCATCAGGCTCTAAGGGGAAATCCACATCCTGGCCTTTTCCAGCTTCACGAGGCCACCTGCATCCCTTGGCTTGTGGGCCCCTACCTCATGTCACTCCAACCTCTTGCTTCTGCTATCAAATCACCTTTTCCTCTGGGGTAGTCAATACCCACCTCTGCTCACTCTTATAAGATCCCTTGTGTTTCCACTGGGCTCACTTAGTAATCCAGGCCAATGTCCCCTCCTCAAGATCCTTAACTCAGTCACATCTGCAAAGTCCCTGGGAACATATTCACAGGCTCCAGGGATAAGGTTTCATATAACCAAGAAAACTTGCTATAGACCCAAATGTTGGTAAATGATCACATATTTGTAGTTGCAAGTTAAACACAATGGTTAAGGTAGGGTAAGGATCATTTTGAATAATTCTCTTCTTTAACCACTGTTTTCATAACTGGACAACTTTTGATCCTTCCAGGTTGGAAAATGAAACAGAGTGCCATCTGGATCTGACTGCACTTCAACTTCTACCTCGATGTCCTCCAGTAGGTTCTTTACAGGGAGGAGCTGTCCACTAGGGCTGGTCAGACGAAGGTCACCGACAGTTCCGCTGACATCAAAGTGACTTCCAGCCTGGAAGGGGCTCTTTGGGAAACTCATCATCTGAAACCAAGAGCAGGGAGCATTGGCTAAAGCCTGGAGGGGCTGGAGGTAAACAGTTCCTTCGTGAATGATGAAGTCCTAAGAGGGCGCAAATAGCCCTTGCCCTATGGATGGTGGGGGACCTTGCCTCAGCTGCTGCTTTTCAAGGTATGTTTCTGGCCTCCGAGGGTGGCCCTGGAGAGCTCAAATCAGACTTGCTTTGGCTGAGCAGTTACTAGACTATAAAGCCATCCAAATCATCCTTCCCTCAAAGGCAGTATAGTCTGACCGCCATATTTTGGGTTCTGCTCTATAGATTCAACTCACTGTGGATCAAAAGTATTTTTTTTTAAAGTCACATCTGGACTAAACAGGCACAGACTTTTTTCTTGTCATTATTCCTTATAATACAGTCTAACAACCATTTACGAAGCATTTGCACTGTATCAACTATTATAAGTAATCACATGTGATTATTAGTAATCACATTATTAGTAATCACATTCTCTAGGTACAAAGACCTGGGAGGATGTGCATAGATCACATGCAAATACTATGCCATTGGGCATCCACAGATTTTGATATTCACAGGGAGTCCTAGAACTGGCCCCAAGGACATCAAGGGATGACAGTCAGTCTCTAAGGGGAAGACTGGTCTGCTCTCTCTAGGTACAGGGAGTTAGTAGTCTGCTGGGCCTTAATTTGGGGATGGGAAGGGCCCTGGTCTTGCCAGTTCCTGGTTATGGAGCTCAACCTAGAGAGCTCTCTTTCCAATGACTATTGGAGAAACAGGAAGGACCTGGGCATCCAGAGCTGTAGGACTGAATCTCAGCTCTACCCCTTACTGTGACTTTGGCAAGTCTTTGAACCTCACCTATAAAACAAGCATAATATATTATGTAACTGACAGGGCTGCTAGCCACATAAATGAGCAAACACCGCGACAGCACTTTGTGATCTATAAAGGGCTGACCCAAAGAGGTTATTGCTATGTTACCCTTATATCCACGGGCGACTGGCTGTCCTCTGTAGAGAAGAGGGGGGCCACAGCAGGCAGAGTGAAGGCCACAGAGTTAACAGCAGCAATGTGCACTGGGGAGCCTTGCCGACTCCGAGGGTATATTCTGGCCACCGGATGGAAAAAGACAGAGGAGAAAGTCAGGAAGATTCTACACCTTCTTCCCTGCCTTTAGAAAGTTCTACATGTTTGAGCCAGTAGATGTGGCACCAAAGGCATCTGGTCCCCTGTGCTGGACTGGAGATTCCATGAGGACAGGGCTTTGGCCAGGTGTTTCATTGCTGTACCCCTCAATTCCTACAACAAATATTTCTGAATGAATAAATGAGCACAGATGTAGACATTTGTCCAGGTTTATCTCCCCCACCTCCCTCAACCTTTCATGTCATAGGCTCCCAGCCCCATTTTTCCTGGTCATTGACCTTGTCCCATTTGAACAGAGGGGGACCTGGTTTCAAATCCTAACTCTGATCTGGATGCTGCTTTTGAAACTTCCCCTGGGGTCCAAGAAAGCAACCCCAGAACAAGAACCCAGGAGAGCAAGGCTGGCTGGCATTTGGTGCAGGGAAACACAGCGACACCTGCAGCATTCCCTGCAGTCAGGTGGAGGGTTAGAGGGGGAAAGCTCCCAGTGCTGGGCCAGTACTGGGTGAGAGACGAGTCCCCCATGGAGAAAGGCTCGAGGTGAGTGTGTCTTGAATCCATGCAGGTCTTTCCTGGCTGGCACACCGGGACATGAGATCCCTGTGGATCCTAGACATGTTGGGCCAGCTCCGTTCACTCAGCCACCTTGCCTGCACACCTCTGATATGAACTTCTCTTGGTGTTCACTCAGGTGGCTCTAACCCTGGGCTTGGCACTAGATGCCTCCCTTCCTGACCTGTATAAATACTCACCAATGTGAGAGGGACATTCTCTAGGTACAAAGACCTTCTCTAGGTACAAAGCCCTCCTGGGTCTAAAGCCCATCCCTTATCCAAACCTCAGGTCTGGTCTCCTAGGCCTGCTGTCACAGGGTCTTGGGATGTAGGTGTGGAACGAGTGAGGTTAGAGCATGAGGATTTGGGCGGATGCACAGTGCAGCTGGTTACCTGTTTGTGTACACAGAGATGGCAGGGGTGGTCAGGGTGGCTGGAAGGCCCCCGGGCAGTGTCCCCAGCAGGAGGGCAGTCTGAACATGCTCTGCAACCCCGAGAAGCTGGGGCACTGTGGCAGTCTGAAAAGGGAAGCCAGAGAATATCATTATGGAGTGTGGTCCTGTACCACCTGTGGTGACTCTCAGCAAGCTAGTGTGGGAGCTCCGGCAGGGACTAGGGAAGGACAGGAGAGTGAGGGAGAAAGATGGCTCTGTCAATGGTAAGAGTAGGCACTTATATAGATTCCAAATGCCTGGCTTGAAATGGAGGCGCAGAGAGTATAGGTGACTTGGGGCGGTCACATGTTGTGCTGGGACTCACAAAATTGTGTAACCAGCCCCATAAGTGACAGACAGGATTCAAACTCAGGCTGCCTGGTTCCGGGGTCCATGCTCTACCTACTGTACCACAGTGCCTCCCACAGGTGCTGCTCTCTGGAACCTTTCTTCTAGCTCCTTGAGAAACACTTTAACCTCTGTGCCTCAGTTTACTCATCTGTAAGGTAGGGAGAAAGATCCACCTACAACTGCTAAGTGTGAGCTGGTCATGCAGAAGGTGTAAGGTCGGCATCTGGCCTAGGACACCCACCTGGCTACTGTTGGTCTCTATGGGCTCTTCTGGTCCATTACTCAAGGAAGCTTCCAGTACGCTGCCCACAGCTTGAAACAGGTCCCTGATGGCTGCCTGGTGCCTCTGGTCGTCAGGATGGGCCTTAGTACTCATTGTCAATAGGGCCTCACTGGCATGCTGCAGAGCGCAGCTGGCCTCCCACTGGTTCATTCAAAGAAGGAAAAGCACCATGAGACGTGCCTGCAAGGGACTATCCCCTGTGCCATTCTAGGGACAAGGGATGCAGTGAAGGAGAACAAGGCAGGGGCATAAGCCAGGAAAAAGCTGGTCAGGCCCATTATATAAGCTACCTATAGTTCTAACTTGAGACCAGGACCTCCCTCCTCACAAGGCTCTGAGTTCTTCTAGAAAGTAGCCTGGCCAGCCTCTGAAGCCTTCCCAGAGGGTGTCACACAGTGACCTGCATGGGTGTGCAGTAGGCATGCAGTTACATTTGCTGACGAGGTGGATGAATGGGGGTTAGATGGATGGATGGGTAGATGGATGGGTGGAAGAAGATGGATGAATCCATGGGTGGGTAAGTGTGGGTGGGTAGGAAGACACCCGGAGAGTGAATGAATGGATGGACATAGTGCTTCTTCCAATATTATCATTATACATGTATTTGTGAAATTATTTGTTTAATGTCTGGCTTCCATAGTAGTCTGAAAGTGCCAAGAAGATAGAGTTCATGTGTGTGAGTTGCTCAATTCTCCATGAATTTAGTACCTGGCATACAGCAGACAGGAAACATTTGTTGAGTGGGTAAATAAATGAATGCGCACAAGGAAGGATGGATAGGGCCATGCACATACATATGCACACAAACAGATGGGTGCAAATGGATGTGTGCATGGAAGTGTCCATCAACAGCACCACAGCCCCTGTAACTAAGAGCAGCCTCCCTGACTCCAGGCTGGGGGATTCAAGGACACAGCCCCTGCCAGGTCGGGTGGGGCAGAGCCAGGGGAGTTCTTCCCTCTTTCTGTTTGGACATAACCTGGGAACCAGGTGCTTTGATTTGAGTTCTCCAAGAAGCAGATCTCAAGTCAAGGATCTGAGAGCAAGCAAGTTATTTGGAGGTGATCCCAGGAAACATTGGTAGAAGAGTGGAGAAATGATACAGGAAATGATACAGGCCCTGGGTTCGATCCTCAGCACCACATATAAATAAATAAATTAAATTTTAAAAGGTATATGTCCAACTACAACTAAAAAATAAATATTAAAAAAAGAGTAGAAGCCAGGGTGATCAAGCCTGTTGCCTGGGGCTCAGTTCTACTGGGAGTTACCCATCAAGAGGGCAGGGAAGCTGGGGTACAGGACACTAGACCCGTTAGTCACTGAGCAATATATGAATTCCCTGCCATGTGGGCAAGTTGGAAAGGTTCTGGGGTCAGGCCCCCGGGCTAGAAAGGCAGGGAGCTGGAGTCTGGATGTCAGGCTGGCCTGCACTGAGGGCAGGACAGGGTGGGTCCACAGTAGTATCTGGAACATATCCATGGTGCCCAAAGATGAATGAGATCCAGCCACTCCTCAAGATGCTCACCAGTGGAGAAGATAATGCTAAGTGAAGTTAGCCAATCCCCCAAAACCAAATGCCAAATGTTTTCTCTGAAATAAGGAGGCTGATTCATAGTGGGGTTGGGAGGGGGAGCATGAGAAGATTAGACAAACTCTAGATAGGGCAAAGGGGAGGGTGAGAGAGGGAGAGGGCAAGGGGGTAAGAAAAGATGGTAGAATGAAATGGACATCACTACCCTAAGTACAGGTATGGAGAATACATGAATGGTGTGAACATACTTTGTATACAAGCAGAGATATGAAAAATTGTGCTCTATATATGTAATATGAGTGGTAGTGCATTCTGCTGTCATATATAACAAATTTGAATAAAAATTTAAATATATATATATGTTTATAAAAATTTAAGTAGGAAAAAAATGTATAACCTCAAGTTAGAATGTGAAAAGATCTAGACAATATCATATAATAACGGCATTCCTGCTGAACCAAAAAAGATGCTCACCAGTAGGTGGAGGTTGAGGGTATGGGTAGACAGACCATCACACCCAGGGTGAGACACAGGGGGCTGCTGGAGGGATGCCTTCCTTTGTACCACCCATGCAGGACCCTTAGGAAGAAGGTGGCAGGAGCCTTGGCATACTGGGAGAGCCCTGTGACTGAGGGACCCCTTTGACTCCTGCCCTGAATCAGCTCAGTGGATGGAAACGTCTTACCTGGGCCAACGACGTGAGCTCCTTACTGTTGTGAGTCACCTCCTTCAGCACCTCAGCCAGGCCCTG